ATGTCAAGAGACAAAAATGTTCAGGACACATTTCTCTATCTGCTCTGATAATTTGAGAAAAATCTGTGACAGTTCATTGAGCACGCTATGCTGGAAAAGTGCGTTTCTATCGTGCACTGCCTCATATGCAATTGTACTAAGTTAACCGTAACACTTTGCTGGATTGAGCCCATCCTGCGGAAATTTAATTAATAGTTTATTGAAATATTTTACTGTTTTATTATATTCAGACATTTGTCCTAATAATTTACCTATGGAAAAATATATTTCTTTCTCTAAATCCTCTTTCATACAATCAAATATTTTTCTAGCTCCTGATTATTTTCACTACTTAGCTCTAATTGTGTAAGCCTATCATTTATCACAAATCCTGGTTCCCTGAAACAATCCCTAAATTATATCCACATTTGTGGATAATTCAACAATTAAGATCAGTTCTGGTCACCAAGTACGGACTTTAGTTTAGGACTTTTTCAATTTAGGGATCTTCTTAATATAAGATAAACCACATATACAGTAATCCAATACCATCCTAGTACTCATACCATACTTAATATCTGTTATTCATTAGTTTTTTTAAAAGGCAAAGTTGTGTGCAATTTATTTTGCCCGATTTGGCAATATTGCCCGTTCCGGTAAGGTATCTTGCTAGATCAGGCAATCTTTTGTACTTGCCTGATCGGGAAATATTGCTCGAATGGGCAGGTTTGTTCGAGCAGGCAGGGTAATACTGAGGCAGATATAGTTGGTCAGTTTTCTGACTGTATAAGAAAGCATCGTATCACCAGGAAAACTATATTTGATGCAGTTTTTACCGCTCTATCACGTAGAATAAGTGTTTGCATAGCTTTGATTTATGCGCTAATCTGTTAACGGAAAAAAGTGTGGAAATCTTCCAAAACGGGTAAGATATTCCTTGTTCGATCAGACCATATTGCCTGTTTGGGCAATATACCTTGCCCGATCGGGCGAGAAAGCTTGACAGCGGACTGACAATGAAGTATTACTCTTCATACAATCAAATAGTTTATTTCGTATAAAGATTTGCTATGGCATGTTTTTCCTGTTAATGAGGTCTTCATTTCATAGTGTAACTGTTTTTTAATTTGAAGGAGGATCCAAGATTGGAAAAACACTTTAAAAGTCACTGAAGTGCTGTTACATGTTCAAGTTTTAGTCCAAATACAAAATAACTTGAGAAGTGTTGATATGTATTAATTTGTTTTTCTTCTGTTAATTTCAAGTTTTACTATATTTGTGTTTTAGTATCTGGCAGTCTTGATGCCTGCCTTTTTCTATGCCATTTAAACGACAAATTCGAGATACCGTTTTGTTTGACACAATGTTTCGCTGTTTCTTTTGAAGAGCGGCGATCGGATGATTCCTAACACATTTTTTTTTTGTTCTTTCTTAGGATTTGGTTCATTCTGTTTGTTTCTCACCTTGTAATTTAATTACTTCTGTATCTGAGGATAGGAAAGTTCGTCTGTGGATACTTAGCGTATAAGTATTTGCAATTCAGCTTTATTAAAATAAAATGTAAAATCTTTCAAAACTATTTTCAAGAAAATGGGAATCAACAATATTCAAAGCTCATACAGCAGCTGTTTATTGTGTCGATTTTGCAATTGATGATCAAAGTTTATTGAGTTCATCTGATGATAAAATTATTAAAGTATGTTTTTTTTCCCATAGAAAATACTAGTGTACAAATAATGGTCTCAATGATTCTTATTTTTATATTTCATAAAATGTATGCCAATATCTTTTTAAAAATCTTTGCCAGGAAACTACATTTAGTACTCATATTCTAGAGAGGAACATTAGGATATCGGTGTGTATTTTACTTCAACAGTACGCTGAGAATGTCATTGACCATCAATCAAGTGTTCTAATTAAACTTCCTACAACAAGACGAAGTGATGATTTCTCTCTAATATTGTAAAAGCTCAATGTTTGATAATTATTAAGTTCTTTACCATTAAAAAAGAGTGTTTGTGAATTTTGCGGAATACCTTCAATTTAGCCTAATTTCCATTTAACTTCTTCTATTCTATTATTTAGTCTTGCATTCAAATTTATTATTCGCCCGGTTTGAGTTTTAATATTGATTTGTACGTAATGATTTTGATGTGTTCGTTGAAAACAACTGTCATTTGGAATAATCGATTGAAGATTATTCTCAACCTGCTGTTGAATTAAATTAAGCGTTGATTTATCTTCGATATTATAGTAAATTAATGTTTGATCATTATGAAGTTCTTGTCCATTAAATAGTAAAATCTGGCTTTCTGCTGCGATACGCTCCTTGTCACATAATCGTTATTTAATACTTCTTATAGTATCTAGGCATGCACCAGTTTTTAACTGGTGTTGGGGCATCCGGGAGAATTGCTACAAATCAGTTTACTGTCTGTAAGACGAATGTTTTTATTCAAAATCCTCGTAAGAGAAACCTTAACACAACTTACAGATTCTGAAAGAACTAAAGCTACAATACTCTTAGGAAAGGTTTGGTTGAATCCTTGATTCTATGTACCTTTGTTTGAAATATTATTAAATCATATGATATTTACTTCCACAGAAATCAAAACTGTGGATGATTTTATGTTTTTATCAGCATTTGAAACGACAACAACATTAGATACATATTAGATTAAAACATTTTCTATCAAAAAATTAACGCCATATTCGTGGTCAACGTCAAAAACTGCGCTTACCGATGTGTCACTCGAAGTTTAGTACAACTTCTGCTTTCACAAAAACTTTACTTGTCAAAAATGCCTTTGTTCCACTGTCAGGTGTGTAGTGTCTATCCCAAAAACAACGTCTTCAGACGTTATTTTTAGATGAAAGCAGAAGTTGTGCTAGACTTCGAGTGACACATTCAGAGTGAGAGTCTAATCCAGACCGAGTCCATGAACTCAAAAAATCTTCAGTCCACCAGACCTGTGAATATGAACTTGATCTAACGTAAGAGGGGGCCGATTTTGCCTCTTATCGGCCCACGTTCTCTCAGCTAGTATTCTCGCTAATTATTTGATGGAAAAATGAAAGTCATCGAAAGCACTCAAAACGAGCAACAATCGTTTGATGCGCTGAAATTGGCCAAAAGTCTTCACTATGAATTTAATATATTATTCGTCAACTTAATTACTTTTCTCAAAATGCTGCTACCGAATAAATTAAGCCTAATTAAAAGTAACCTTTTTCCGACTCATAGAGAAACGCAGACGAAGGAGATGGATGGAACTTTTTTCTTAATTGTATTACATCAATTATTCGAGCATTTTGCATTGCCGATGCTCAAATTTATTTTGAATGGATAATTATTGATTGCGATTTTTTTGCGATATCGCTAGGCTCGCGAAAACTTGCCCCAAAAAACCGCTTAATGGATGACGTTATTCAACTCTTGGCCGTATAATCAAACATTTCTTTATGGAATCAGACATCATTCGAAACTAGAGAATACATATACAGAAGAATGCTACCATACTGTTACAGACATAACTTAATAGTCAGACTCTGCCCCTTTTGAAAAAACCGTCTGCCCGACTTAAAGTCTAAGTCGAATGTTCTGCATTTTGCTATGAATCGGAAAAAGGTTACTTTTAATTAGGCTTAATTTGTTCGATAGCATTTTGAGAAAAGCAATTAAGTTGACGAATAGTGTATTAAATTCAGAAATGCCTCTCAATACCTCAAGTCCTGCTGGTGATTCATTAATATTCACCAATGTAATTCTTAGAAAATCGAATTCGATTTTCTAGAATGTCGATGTTTTCTGGAAAATGGAGATCGAATTTTCAGCAAGGTAGAAAATCGACGATGATCCACCTGTTTAGAAATTTCTCACCTATTTTCTGATTAATAAGAAAATTCAATTTACAGAAAGGAGGAGGGCGGATAAGGTAGGTTTCCCGCACCCAATGGAATTGCATTTTTTCTATCAGAAACATGTCAGGGGATTATTTGAAACATTTTGTACCACTTAGTTTTTCAAAATTTTTTTTGG